ATCAAGAATATCCAAAGTTTACAGAAGGATTGAGATGACGACCTGAAATCAGCAGAAATTTAAACAAACTTAAAATGGCCCACAAGGTACGTTAGCATTAATTTAACAGATGTTATTCGGAAAATGTTTTGGAATTACTAAAAAAGTATAATCTATCGGAAATTAGACATTTAATTCAAAATCTAATTAAGGCGCGAATAAAACGGCAAACTTGATGTCTAATTGAATAAATAAATAAATCTACAAGCGTATCCCTATTCATATTCAAACTAGAAATTTATTGTAATAATATATGAATATGTTCAAGTTTAACATGTAAATAGATTGTCTCTATCCACATAGTTTTGACTTGAACATATTCAGTATATTATAATGTTTGAAATTCAAAAAGATAGGTTGCCAGGCAACGAAACACACGCCCACGGCAGCTAAATCGTCAGGCAAGTCAACAAGAGTGATATTTATGACTTGAACATAATCAGAAATGTTTGAAATTTGAAAAATTATAATTTATCGGATATAAGATATTAATCTCTATTTCAATAAATGAATAGATCTATCTCTATTCATATTATCAAACTAGAGATTTATTATAATAATATATGAATATGTTCAAGTTTAACATGTAAATAGATCTGTCTCTATCCACATAGTTTGACTTGAACATAATCAGTATATTGTAATGTTTGAAATTAGAACAAAATTATATTTATCGGAAATAAGATATTAATCTCTAGTTCAATAAATGAATAGATCTATCTCTATTCATATTATCAAACTAGAGATTTATTGTATGAATATGTTCAAGTTTAACATGTAAATAGATCTGTCTCTATCCACATAGTTTGACTTGAACATAATCAGTATATTGTAATGTTTGAAATTAGAAATAAACTATAATTTATCGGAAATAAGATATTAATCTCTAGTTCAATAAATGAATAGATCTATCTCTATTCATGTTATCAAACTAGAGATTTATTGTAATAATATATGAATATGTTCAAGTTTAACATGTCGATAGATCTGTCTCTATCCACATAGTTTGACTTGAACATAATCAGTATATTGTAATGTTTGAAATTAGAAATAAACTATAATTTATCGGAAATAAGATATTAATCTCTATTTCAATAAATGAGTAGATCTATCTCTATTCATATTATCAAACTAGAGATTTATTGTAATAATATATGAATATGTTCAAGTTTAACATGTAAATAGATCTGTCTCTATGCACATAGTTTAACTTGAACTTAATCAGTATATTTTAATGTTTGAAATTAGAAAACCTGATTAAAAGTAACAATTCATTTAGTAATTATCATAAAATCATTAGAATTTGTTTGGTCCATACAAACGTTTAGTATACAAAATATTTAATATCATGGATTTAGCTGTTCATGTTTTCAAAAATCATTGAAAATCAATATACTTGTTCGTCGCAAGACCTTAAACTCTGTGTATCAATCTAAATATCAATCGAAACGATTATATACTGGCGTAAACACGGTGTGTAAATATAAAATCAATCAGATGATAACTGTTGTCTCTAAAGCATGCTGGCAGTAATTATCGGAATCGTTGAAAATCAATATATGACCTTAAGCAATTGTGGACGCTGGACCGACCGACGTACGGACGTACGGACGGACGGTCTGGGGCGACTACAATATACGACCACATGTTAAATTGAACCCAATGAATATATTTTAATAGGTGTTTCCTCTTTAACTGAACTTGAACAATGACTGCATCTTATAAATAAATAAATAAAATATATATATATATATATAAATAAATAAATAAATAAATAAATAAATAAAGATTAATCCTCGATCTTGGTGCCACAGATAAACATCTTTAAAATATTTCTTCTTCTGCTCGTTTTTTCTGCAATATATATATATAAATAACAGTACAATACATCACTGTACATTTTACGTATAATCTTTATATAAGTAGTGCTGTTTTCTGGGGGTTGTAGCTTATCCCAACACTAACGACGATAACTCGGAATAAATAAATTGTACTTTTAATAAACGAGTGTACAAAACTGATTAACGGCCACAATAACGAGATAGATATCGCTAGGGCGAGTCGGTCACCAGACTAAAGTTAGAGTAGAATAGATACAAGATTAGGATTAAAATAATATAAAATAATATTTGATAAGAACTGTTGAATTGCACATCAGAAACAGATGTTTAAATACAAAAGATGATATCGATATAGCAAGAACGTGTATTAACTATGATTACGTAATATACCCAAACAGTTAAAATACTTAAAAGATTAATGAGAAATCAATTCAGACATTGACCAATTACTACTTTAACTAAATTATATTATATAAAAGATACCTTTTTGATAATCCAATTATGATCTTTAAATGACATCTAGAAGTACGGCCATCTTTCCGTAACAAAACACAACACAGGATATGGATATAACTAAGTCTCTGTTATTTAATAACGGCGTTTCAACAGATCATGTTTTCAAGTTAAGTAACCTGTAAGTGTTACGAAACGTCGTTATTAAATAACAGAGAAGTAGTTATGTCCATATATGCATGTACCTTGTGTTTTGTTATGAATATCTTTAATTCTGTTCATCTCCGTAATTTTAAGCTAAATTGAATATGGTGGACGAATGTTTAAGGAGACTTTAGTTTAAAAAATCAAAATTTCTGCATTCCGTTACATATACACCAATGGTTTCTTTTAACCAATTTATAGTTGATTAAAGTACGAAGTTCACACTAGATATCTAAGCCATACTATATTGTAGTACAACTATTTTATAGACCAGTAGGAACGATACGCCATTGGTGGTGGTATTAATATTTATAGTTGTATTGACTTATATGCTAAAGTTTATAAACTCGTTTGTTTTTTGATTTGGCTTTTGGAGAGTTAACGTCCTCTCGACTCCAACTAGGTTATTTCCGGACTAATATAATATGGTACATTTTTATTTCAATAATTCGCTTCCGCGCAGGGGACTTTAACAGTGGGAGGACCCGGACAAAACTCACGAGGTTGGGCTTGCTATCCCACTCCTTGTCACATACAAGCTTGGAGTCGAAACCCTATAACAGTCTTTTTGATCTAAAGCGCACGCGTTAGACCAATCGACAACCCAATCCCTTTAGATATAAACAGAAGATTAAATAAAAAGAACAAAAATTCCGAGTTTTTAAATCCCGAGATTTCGTTTTTACATGATGCAAAAAAGGAAAACTTAGATAACTCGGAAAAAAATCCGAAAACTCTGAATTATTTTTTCCGAGTTTTTGGCACAGGACGATTTTTTTTCCGAGTTTTCCGTAAAAAATTGAGTCATGCTAAACAATTCCATTAGCATTATCAGCAGAACGTTTAATACTCTGACGACGTATCAAGTTTCAGCAAGACATTATGCAATTATGTAGGAAAACGAAATAAAACATGGCATATTATTGTAGAGATTTAGAATAACACATTTACCTGTTTTTGGTTTAATACGTTTCACACGGGTGTACGTAACTTTTTGTTTTAGACCGATCGCCTGAAATTAAATATCATTGCATTTTTACTTTGACAAACAATGTTGGCATGGATTTTAAGTCGGGAGAGACCATTTTGATACTTTTCTATTCAGGTTCTCGCTTGTACCAATACAAACGATATGTGGGTGATATATTATTATCAGGGTAGGACAATATGATTTTTTTTTTTTTTTTTTTGCGGAAAAAGGGGGCGGGGGTGTATGATAACATTTTGTTCAGCTGAATTCATGTTCACAATGTCTCGGTACTGATATTCGTATTTCTCAGTTTTAGCCGTTAAGAAATGATTCTGTTTGAATAAATTACTGGTTATAGTGTTAATTGTTGTTTGGCTCTAAATGTAACAAAAGAAACTTACCATTAAAAATTTGTCGAATTTACAGAACTCTTTATCTGTAAGAAAATTGATTTAATTTATGTATAACGTTTAATTGACGGCGAGAAAACTGTTAGATCTGGGCCTGTAGTGAGGTTTTTATACCTATGAGTCGGCTTTTTTTAAAGGAAGTCTAAACCTGAAGTACAGTTACCCAAACATTTCTGTACTAACAACTAACCTTCACGATCTATTCGTGGAATTTTAACGAAGTCAAAGTATCTGCCCTTGGTCGTAGCTTGATTCTACAAACCAATCAAAAACGATTTACATACTAGTCTTAGCATCAATGTTCCCTTTGTTCACTAGATTGGTCGATAAAAATAGCAGACGTATCAAGGGCGGATAATTTGAGTATATGCCTACCCCGTGGATGAGAAGTTAGTGGAGTAAAACGGCACGATACCACTGAGAATACCGAGAATGTCCATACATTTGTATAGACAAATTATGTTATTTTATTTGATCTATCTTATCTGTTAGTGTAAATATTGGAGTGGGTTCCAGCAGACATTTTTATAAGTTAGCAAATCATTTGTATCGATGTTTGTGACATAAATTTGACTTATACATCGTTTAATAATAATTTTACCAGGTGTATCTCTATCATGTTCAGTTGTAGATCTGATATCATCCTCTGCTGAAGTTTCTGTATAAAATAGCAATTTTGTCATTAATTACTAGAAAAAAAATCAACGGCTTCCTAGAAATCCGCCATTTCTTAAAAATATAACACGTGACAAAAACGTATTAAGTCTGATTGATGATTACAAAAAATGTGCACTTACATTACATAACAAACACAGCAGCAATGTAATCGCATATATATAATTGTATAATTAATGTTTAAATTTTCTGATAATTAACGGGACGGCCCATCATAACAAATTTTTCAAGTTACGGAACCTCCATTGTCAGTATTTCCCCTGCATAGTTGAAATATCAAGGTACGACTCACACGAAAACCTGTGACATGATGTGGTGTCAGTCAGGATATATCGGATTGGTTGGTTCGAGTAGCCTACAGATTATTTGTATGTATTATGATATTATGTTTTATTACCCAATTGGGATGACTCTTCATCCACATCTCCATCTTCTACTTTCCTTTGTTCTTTCTCCTCATCCTTCATTTCTTCCTCTTCTTTCACCTCTTCATTTTCTTCAACCTTTTCCTCTTCTTTCGCTTCCGTTGCTGCTAATTCTTAAATCGGTGCATACAATTATTAACATATATAAATTAAAAGCTAAAATTAATTGTTGTAGCGAAAAGATATACCTATAAAAACAACCTGTTATAGTGGGTGGTCGAATGGCTTAATGTGTGCGCGTTAGATCATAAGGTCTGTCATTTAGTCAAGTGATGTGGTTTCGATTCGACACCTGAACGTGGCAAGGAGTGGGGTAGCTTGTCCAACCTCGTGGGTTTCCGTAGCTAACTCCGGGTCACCCACGCTCAAGCGAATTCTGGAAAGAAATGAAATGAAATAGGGTTTAACATCCTACTGTGCAGTTGTGCTCCGACTGGGATAATGAAGACGGGTATACGCCATGCAGTGTGCTATGGGGGGAATTTGGCCCGGGAGCGGCGCTATGGTGTACACGGAGTCCCGAAATGACTTAGGTTGTATAGAATGGACTTTACGCCCCCCCTCCCTCTGTCTCTCTATCTCCCTCTCTCTATCTCTCTCTCTCTCCCTCTCTCTCTCTTATATATAGACCGATATTCAAATTTAGAAGAATTCTGCGAAGCTTACTTCGTGTTATATATTATCGAAACAAAACTGAAATACATTTGTTCTTGAACTTATATTTAAATATATTTTTACACTAATTTTTCTACCTTTATTTTTAATAGATAATTCGAGTTCCCGAATTCTGCAGTCCAGGAGGTCCTCTGAAATGAAAAATACACCATTTGTATTTAATAAGAATGAATAGAAAGATTATAACTGTAGAAAGTATGAATGAAACTGAACGTAATATGGTCACCTTTGCTAATGGTTTCTTGGGGGGTTTCTTCGGTGACTATTTCTGTATGGTCACCACAACCAGTCTCCAAATCATGTAGAACTGACGCCATCTAAAAAATAGATTACATAATTCAATTAAAGTTATATCAATATAGATTACAATATAACATGTTTCACATCTACACAATAATCAATGGGGTGATAACACGTTTTCAACTAGAAATTTACACGGCGAAATGACCAATGGACATATCACCCCAGTTGAATAGATTACATGATATTTCGGTTCCGCTACATTTCGAACTATGACTTTGATGTTTCGGACTCGAGCAGGTGACATTTAGGACTCGAAAGGTTGAACACTACTGACAAATCAATTTATAATAAGCCAATGGCGATTTTATAAAAATAACATGCGGGTAAAATATTTCATTGTTGAATGTTTACGAAAAGAGTGTCTTATTTCTTTATGTACTATGATTGTATATTTCATATAAAAAAAGTAGCTGCTGAATTTATTAGAAATAGGCCAATTCAAAACGCGAAAGAAAATATCAACATTCAACATGAAACACATGCAATACACAAAACCACATACTTATGGAAAAAACAGCTACTTATTTATTTGGGCGACGTTTCGAAGAGTATTCTCTCAAGGTTATCAAGCTAATACGACATGGTTATTAAAAGGCTCGCCCTTACGATCAAACATTAGTTTCACTTACGGTTCTTTAATATATTTTTTTTTAAAAATTGAAAAAAAGAATAATATGCTGATCAATTTATTTTAAAATGACCTACACAAAAACACAAGCAAATATTTACACGTTAGGAATTATTGTCGAATGTACCATTATTCAGTAATAGGCCTACTAATAATATGCGTCAATATCTTACAGTAACGGGCCTAATTTAATTAGCTTTCCGCGGTCTTACGGCTTTACATATGATTAGATACTAAATTATTAAAATAAATACTCACGTTGCTAGGTTGGGATAGATCTATTATTTTTATTAAAATAAAAATCCACAAGTTGATGGCGCTGTTGAGCTTATCAAGGCGACACACCGAATATCTATTGTGACGTCACATCACTATACTGCACTTGCGCACGTTCGTTATTTTGATAACGTTAAAAGATGGGCAATATGAAATAATTGTATAATGGGACCTATTATATTTGTTGGTCAAATTTATTTTCATTTATTTAAAATAGATAACATTTTGAGGAAAAATATAAAAATGAATTTGACTGTAAGTCTATTCATTTGTGTAATTTAAAGAATTGATGTGGACGTGTTTATATCGAAATCGGTAATGGGGTCCTATATCCTTTCTTTTTCTGGAATGGAATCGGGGTTTGCGCCTTTTAACCGATTACTTTTTATTATTTGGAGACTGACATGTATCCGACCACTTTTATTCGAATTTCTACTGTTAAGGGGGTCACGGTGGCTAAGTGGGTAAGGTGCTGGCTCGCTAGCCTGGAGGTTGGGTGTTCGATCCCTGCATTGGCCGAGAAAGTTCATCCAAATTTTTCAGGCGTGGCTCCCCTTTGTCAGTGATGCAGACAGGAGGGTCCGACAAGAACAGCTGTCTAGTCGCTCGGATGGGACGAAAAACCGAGGTCCCGTGTACACATTGGCGTGCACGTAAAATATCCCTTGACAGTTGGAATTCGATATAAGAGTAGGCCGTAGTGCCGCTGTCCGGCAAAATTTCCCTCATAGCACATGCCCGTCTTCATTAGCCCAGTTCGGAGCAGAACAGTAGGACGTTAAACCCCATTTCATTTCATTTATTTCTACTGTTAAGACTTCTTTTAAGAGCCAGTTTTAATAAGAATCAGACAGTTAACCACCTTGAGCCGGTTGCTCAAAACTAATAGTAAGTGCAGGGGGACTGCACCACACAGAATTTACACAAAAACAAATACACGGACAGGACATCATACTCAGGAAAACACAAACATACAGACAATTAAAAAAAAGTGAATGGATCCACTGCGCTGTACAGTCCCGGGTCTGTAGTGACACAGACTTCACTCAAATTTGAAAACAATTAGGAATACAACCCAAAGAACCCATTGTGCAATGCCAGCATGAGTCATGATCTGCTATATGCTACACGAAATACGAATGTAAGCATAAAATTCAACTATACAAGTAACCACATCGGTGAAATGTATAAAAAAAAGTAGTCTGACCTCTAAATTCATTCAAGAAACGCTTCAGTATTCAATACATATAGGGTACATGTTCCATCCGTCACAAAAACAAAAACAAAACTGAATACAAAGAAGCAAATAGGAAATGTAGACTGTCTCGAGGGACAGCCATCTGCTGACTTTCGATGTTATTTTGGGAATGCACACAAACTACTATATCAACATTTCAAACAAAATCCATGTAAGGATTTTGGATACAGAGTTCAAATAATTGAAAAACTTTCTGGTTCAGGACACCTCAGTACATGTAATGGCAAAATTTATCCTGCAGTTACACAAAAAAGAACTCACGCAGAAGAAACTTGGATAACAAAATTACAAACCATTTTCCTTTATGGTCTCAATGATAGATTTAAAAACATCGATTATAGTAACCGTGATGAAAACACTTTCATTACAAGAAATTGTTACAAAAAACTTGATCATAAATTTCAAAATAAAAAACGTTCTATAAAAAATCGAAATTTCAAAAAGACCCAGGAAGTATTTTGAATGAATTGTATTCTGTATGTCAATGCCATACTTCCGATAAATTGTCCTGTGCAGCTTGTGTACTCAACCTAGCCCGACAAATTATACACACTTTGAAATAATCTACAGCTAAAAAACTTGGTGTCCTTATACAAGATATCATCTATTCTAATCAACTTAATGAACGCTTTCTTCCTCAATATTACGATGTTATAACCGATTTAATAAATAGTAAATTTTCACCTAAGCATTCAATACAGTCTCATAAAGTGCAAAAGAAAAAAGCTGACGTGTTATGTAAAATCCTTTTTACAGATAAACATATACAAGACATTGGATTGAATAGAATCTTTAGAGACCGATCCAATCTAATTAAAATATAGATCTATATTTCGTTTCGTTTTTTATACTTTCGATGGCCTACACTACATGTAGATCTAACAAGTTATAGTGCGAGTTCACGTTCTATGACGTCAGGTACCAAGCAAGCGACATTTGACCCGATAACGTCAGTCATTCGATTAACCAATTAGTGACCGCCATGCTTTTTTAAATCTACTTTTGCTTTGTTTTGATTTCTATCGCTGATAATGTCTACCCACAGTTCCGCGCAAAAAAGGTCAAACGCTCGATTCGACAGAGCATTTGATTGGCTGACCCCTCATTTCAAGCAGAACACGAGTTAAATAACAAGTCTTCCAGATCCAAGTGTAGTAAAGACAAGTAAAAACGAAATTTTGAACTATAAAAAACGAAACGTAATTGGATCTGTGTTTTAATCAGATTGAGACCGATCAGTAATTAAATCTATACCAGATACTATTCCTAAAATTTCACCCACAGTCGTATACAAATTTTTACCTCCAATTCGTAATAAAATATTTAACTACCATCAAACTATTGAAAACCTTAACGTACAAGAATTTATTTACAATTACAATAATACTACATGGCAATGCGCCAACTCTCCCTTTAAAGACAAGTTTCATGACCATATACTAACAGGAAACTTCGATATTGTTGAAGATAAAAATCTTAAAAAACTTTTTCGCTTTGGACCACAATTTCGAGAACAACCTAGTAAAACTAATTTCAAAAAGTTACATAATAATCTTAAATTTCAACTCAGGAAATGCATAGTAGCTTGGTCTGATAAATTTCGTGCACCATTAGAATCTTTTGGAGAATGAAAAAACACTGTTTTTGATCTCTTATCAAAAAGAATCAAATATATAAAACTTAACCCAAGACACCCGCCACCCTAAATAATACATCCGCAGTTGAATGTCTTGCTTCTCTTCAAGATAGATTTGGTCTAACACCTGTCGATAAGGCCAGCAATAATATTGCCTTTATCTGTAAAAAATACTATATTAGAAATATTCTTACTGGAGTTGGACTTTGGCCCAATACCCATAATGACACTTATAAATGCATTACGGATTTAACTAAACTAGATATTTTACATAATCAATATACATTAACAGGAGTAATGATATTAAAGACAATGTGAAAATAGATGCACTACCTTACATGTATTCTATACCTAAAACCCATAAAAACCCAGTAAAATTCAGATATATAATATCCTCCAGTATCTGCCAAACGAAACCATTAGCCAAGACTATCACCAAAGGGCTTAAATTATGCCAAACCCAACATGCCATTTGGTGCAGAACACTTCGTAGCTATACTGGAATTAATAGGGTTTTTTTATAATTGATAAAAATAAACCTATAGTAGACACGTTAGAAAAAATCAATAAAAAAATTAATGCAAACACAATATAAACGGTCGATTTTTCTACTTTGTATACTATGCTTCAACATGCAGATCTTAAAGATAATTTAGATTGGTTTGTAGATAAAGCCTTTAATGGAGCTTTCGGGAAAGGCAGAAACTTGATGCCCATTTATGCAGAAGATGCTAAATGGATTATAAAACGTCGCAATGCCGACACTGTAGTTTTTGATAAAGAAAAATTTCAAAATATCATACATTTCCTCATTTATAATGCCATATTTGAGGTTGGGGATCAGATAATGCAACAAACCATTGGTTTGCCAATGGGAACTGACCCCGCCCCATTTATGGCAAATGCACATTTATATAAATACGAATTCAACTTTCAAGACCATAAAAGAAAAACAGATTACAAAGTAGCTAAAAGTCTAAACTATACCTTCCGATACATTGATGACATAACACCTATCAATGATAACGGAAATTTCAACAAATATAAAAGTGAAATATATCCTCCTGAACTAATATTAAATAAAGAAAATTCCGGTACTATAAATGCATCTGTTCTTGACCTTAACATCAATATAATTAACAATAAATTTAATGTCGGTATTTTCGACAAAA